ACATACACAGATGAAGAGGAGGGGATTAGACGAAAGGAGGGAGAGAGATGGGAATGTTGTCAGCACCAAGTCTTTGTCACAAGTCCCAAATAATCCCTCGTCGTAATGTCTGAAGCCCAAAAGTCAAGTCTGGATCCAATGTCACCAAGCTCTCTCTCTCACTCTTCTCTCGTAGTCTGCAGATGCAGTGAAGTCAGATAAGGAGAGGGTGAGAGGGAGATGGTGGACTGAGAAGAGGAAGAAGAAGAACTCTCTCTCTGTCACGAGCCAGATACGAACCTGTGATGTTGGCGGTGTGCTGCAGGTACCTCGAAGACGAAGCTGGAGCAACGGCGCTGCAGGAAAGTACCTCTGGCCTCCGTAGGCCCTTGTTTTCAGGCTTTCGGGCTGAACAGTCACGGGGCTTGTAGGCCCTGGTTTTCAGGCTTTATTTCAGGCTTTCAGCCTGAGGGACGCAGGGCCTGGAAAATGGCCCTCGTGTGCAGGCGCAGCATGTAACAGACATGGACTTAAGCCTCCTCAGCCCGTGTGGGTTTGGTAAACACAGCTCTACGACCTCATACACGGAGTTCCTATCACCTGGACAGAAGAGACTCAATGCAGAAAGAAGAGAGGCAAATACCATGGGGTGAGTGCACATCCATAGGGCGAGGGGATAGGCTGAAGGCTTGGCGAGAGTATACCAACTCCAGCTTGGTCAATTTTGTGGTCAACAGCTCTGCCAACGCTGGTCAACTTCTCGGTCAACGTCGGTCAACCCCCTAGTCAACACTTCGGTCAAACCCGGTCAACTCCCTTGTGAACACCTCGGTCAACCCTTCTCAACTCTTCGTCAACCCTGGTGAACTCCCCGGTCAACACCTTGGTCAACGCTAAACTCGGCTATGGCCGCCGACCCCTTTCTCTCCACCAACCTTTGATTTCCTCCTCCTCCCTCCCTTCTTTCTTACTTATTTCTTCCTTCACCTCTGGCTATGGCTTCTCTCTCCTTCTTCGTCCCTCCTTTCTCTTCTTCGGCTATGGCTTTTCTTTCCTCTTCGTCTCTCCCTCCTCCTTTACTCAAGTCTTCTTTCTCCTTCGTTTACTCCGTGTTCGAGCTCGGCGGCTATGGCTGCCACTTCCTTCCTTGGGCCGCACAACCAATCTTGTCTCTCTCTCTCTCTCTCTCTCTCTCTCTCTCTCTCTCTCTCTCTCTCTCTCTCTCTCTCTCTCTCTCTCTCTCTCTCNCTCTCTCTCTCTCTCTCTCTCTCTCTCTCTCTCTCTCTCTCTCTCTCTCTCTCTCTCTCTCTCTCTCTCTCTCTCTCTCGTCGTTGTCTTTGCAGGTGCGCGGTGTCTCACTCCAGCGGCACAGCTATGGCAGACCCTCCTCCTTCAACAGCGCAGCTGCTGCTATGGCCCCCAACTGGGGCGCACCTCCTTCCTGTTGGCAACGGCGATGGCGCGTGGAATAGCGGGAACCTGCTGTGATACCAATGCAATCAGACTTGCCTTCTTCTTCATTCAGTATGTATGCAACAGATGGCCAGTTACACTGGAGCTAGGCGCCCACACAAAGCTCAGAGATATTCAAGCCGAGAACACAGTTTGGATACAAACTCGCTTCGAATTGGCTATGGCGCCTGAGCGCCTACACAAGTCACTTCCGACACTGTATTCACAACAGCTGTTCGCACACACACCACACTGGATCTCCCTGGATATCCCAGGCACACTCACTCTGTACCGTACCCACACACACATGCTGGAAACTAACTCTAGGCTATGGATGCTATGGCCGTCGTCTAACACTGACTACTAGCAGCGATGGCTGCTCTATCTCCCTCGTAGCCCACTTCAACTTCGGGCATCTGCAGACCACCTCGCACAAGACGCCTGGGCAGCGCTTCCCTGCATGGCTCATGCAGAATGAATGAATGGCTGGATGCTGCCTCTTGATTTATGCACATAGTCCCACATGGTATTTGCTGACTGGACAAAGTGAGATGGGACTGGGTACCGCTGACTAAGCAAAGTTGGACTACCCACTTGCCCACTTGCCTCCGGTCTAACGTGAGCAACACTCGAAAGGCCAATTCCGGACCTTCCGGAAGTCTGTGGACTTGGCCTTTCGGGACTGTAGCAGCTACTCGACAGACCTACAGTTCAAGACCCGACAACTACACAGACCTACAATAGACAACAGTGGGCTACCAAAACACAGGTCACAGGTTCAAAACACACAGGGGTCTTGGTACTGTACATGGGCGAGGTAAGGTCTAGGGATCGAGCCCTGGGATCTGCATCTGTTACCACAAAGGTGAAAACCGTTTCACCTGGGCCAATTTGGATTTTTTTTTTTTTTTTCTCCCCTTGGTTGACGTTTGCGGCCTCAGACCGGGGTTGCAGCCTGCGTGTGGCCTTAGGGCCACTTCAAGGCATATCGAGGAGGGTATTGCACGTATCGTGATATCGCTGTATTACGATATTAGTAAGCTTGCCTGTTGCATGCTGCGCCTGCACACGGGCCCCATTCGAGGGGCCCGACGGTTGCTGAGGGGCCCCAAGGCCGCGTACCATACAGCACGGCGGCCCTTCAGGCCCTAGGTAGCACACTAGTTAGATAGGTGTAATTTTACTTACCTTTTCGTGTGTGTGTGCTGTCTTACTTTCTGTTCAGGTGCCGTTTCGGACTTGCAGCCCCAAGGCCGGACCTTGGGACTGGGTACACCGGAGGCAGGCCCGAAACGAGGCCAGGCACATTTGGGCACCAGACCGGTAGGTGCAGGCGTCGTTTCGGTCCTGCAGGTCCCAAGGCGCCGCGTTGGGCTAGGTGCACAGGTACCAGGCTATTTTTAGGCCAGGCACATTTCTGCACCTTGCAGCATCAGCAGCATGGTCTGGACATCCGGTAGGGACCCAGACCAGCTGGGCCGTTTTTCTGAGGCCAGCATCAGGTAGGCCCAGCCCGCCCAGCGCTACAAAGAGCTGGGCAGCGGCTGGGCAAGGACAGTTCGAATAGCTCACTTCTGGAGCGACACGCTGGTGGTTGAAGGCAGCGCTATTCTGCCACTGCGTTGCAGAGTAGGGAGTAGAGGGCGTAGAAGGTAGAGGGAGGCGGAGGCCTTACCTGCAAACGGCGAGCTTACCTGGCGCCATAGCAGGGCTCCACGCGGTACCTGCACATGACGACGACACAGTCAGTACGGTGACAGCTACCTGCAGGTGAGATAGCAAGGAGGACATCATCTTCTTCTTCTTCCTCCTCCATCTCTCTCTCTCCCTTCTTCTTCCTCCTTCCTCCTCCTCCTTATCTCTTCTTCACATACGAGAGTGAGAGAGGTTATCGGTAGGAGATGCAGGCAGAGGTTTTGTTGGGCACATTTCCCAGGATCTGATTCAACATTTCGGGGACAGACATTGATTGCACACTCGGCAAGGGACTATTTTTGGGACTTCGCTATCGCGATCCTGGTCTACTCCCTCGCCTCCTTCTCCTTCGTCTCGTCCCTTCCCCCCATCTCTCGTCCATGGCATCTCCCCACGTATGTGTGCGAAGGAGGGACCTTTCTTCTGTGATTGCGGTCCCTCCTCCCCTCTCACATGTGTGATGTATGATGGATGTCGGGTCAGTCCAGATCAGATCAGATCTTCTCTTTAAAAGTTTTCCGCTGCGCCACTTTGTGCCATCTTGTATGTATCGGAATGTACATTGCTGCTGATGCTACGCTGACCTTGCATTGTCCATTTCAGTCCTTTTCATCACATTGCGGATCCTTGGCTCCCCACGCGTTGTCCCATTGGGCATGCGTCATTGCCTGCTTGAGCTCCCACGTGGCCGTACATTTCCTGGCTTCTGCACATGTGCGACAGCTGGAAAAGTCTGTCGAGTCTTGCTCTTCAGACCTTACATTAAAATTATTAAATTGCATTGCCACACTGAAGGCAACAAAGGTAATCAGAGACTGACATGATCTGACTGGGGATGAAGTGCGCTTTTTAAAAAAAATGGATTGACTCATTTGAGTTGTTTTCCCTCCCCAGAAACATTTTCCACTAAGCACTTGGCATTGTGCAGGGGATACGTTTAGCATTGTTTGTTTGTTGGGGTCTTGGAGACGACTGTTTTGGCCAGCCCTGAAAATCCTGAAAATCCTGAGAAACTGAAAAGAGCAAAATCTGCATGAAAACATACTTTTGCCTTGGGGTTTTAGGCTCCTTTGATCCATTTTTTTTTCCTTTTTTATTTTTGCTGTTGGTTTATTTGGTACCCAGTGTCCACTCTCTGGACTGGTAACAAGTCTGGCTTAAAAGGTGCGGGGCGTTTGTTATAATGATCCTGAAAAAACCCTGAAAATTTAGGACTCTGTTAGCCGCTTATCCATTCTCCCAGAGTCTTCATCAATTATTCCTCAAAGGACAGCAAAATTCTGCTCGCTGCATATTTGTTAGTAATTCCAAAGGACTGCAATATTCTCTGTTCTTGGACAGGGTTCATCGTAATTCCAAAGGACTGCAAGATTTCCTTCTCCATTCTCCCAGAGTCTTTATCAGTTATTCCTCAAAGGACAGCAAAATTCTACTTTTTTGAAAGTTTGTCTCGAACAGGCTCGCTGCATATTTGTTAGTAATTCAAAAGGACTGCAAAATCCTCTGTTTTTTTTTCGGACAGTGTTCATCGTAATTCCAAAGGACTGCAAGATTTCCTTCATACTGGCAGAGTCATGATAGTCCATCCAGCAGTCTGCAATTAATTGATCTGGTTTGTGTGTCTTACCATGGAACTACGGGTGCACTCACATTCGGGCCCTTTTGCCTGATCATTTCGCGGGCCGGTTGCCATTCAAGTGTCAAAATCTTATGGAAAGTGTTCTTTACACTCTATGTCTGCCTAGGATTCACTCGAGATATCCTTGTGAAGCTATCACACATGCCCATACCGGTCTTTAATAATAAAGTTTTAAGGGATTTGGCAACAATTGTACCTAACGCTGTGTTCCTTGCCACTGTTCAATTCTGTCCAGGTTGACTGTCCGATCGCTGGCCAGTTATCTCGGCGAGGATCCAGACACAACCCCACCTGAGGTAGGTTTATCTCTGTTTTTCCGGTTGTTTGTTTGACTACTGCACTATTTGTTAGTGAGATTTGTTCTTTGGTTTGTGAACTGAATTGAGATCGACCCTGCACAACATACTTCACACAAGTCTTGCACCAGGTCAAGCACACATGAAGCACACAAGAGAGGGGAACCCGAAAATAATCTCTGCGAGTCAGCAGTTGGAAGATTGTCTTCGTCGAGCTCAGGCGGATATGGCCGCCGTCAGCAACGCACAGGTACGTTCTCTCTCTCTCTCTCTCTCTCTCTCTCTCTCTCTCTCACACACACACACACACACACACACACACACACACACACACACACACACACACACA